ATATATATATATATTTCTATATATATATATATAAATATATAAAGTGATGAGTATATATATATAGAAATTGGTATCTATATGAAGTCAGAAACATATAGACAGAAATATTTTTATTTCTCACCAACAATGTATATATGAATATATGCACCTCTCTCTGGAGCTGTAAAAATATCTCTCTCTGTCTCACTATATAGATGTTTATCTATCCCACACACTATATATATATATACAGATATATATATATATATATATATATATATATATATATATATATATATATATATATATATATATATATATATATATATATATATATATATATATATATATATATATATATATATATATATATATATATATATATATATATATATATATATATATATATATATATATATATATATATACCTCGATGACAATGTCGATCCCGAGTTCAGCCCAAGGAAGTTTGAGTGGGTCCCGGCTGGAGACAACCTTAATGAGCTTTCCATCTACGCTGATCGTCTCGTTGTTGACTATCTTAACATCCGCCTTGAATGTTCCGAGCATCGAGTCGTACTTGAGCAAGTGCGACGCCTACGACAATTATTCAACGAATTATTTCAAATGACTCTAATCGTTTTATTTATTTAAAAATATATATATTTTTTTTGTTAAGGACGTCGTACGTTTTTTACACCACCGCTGTCGTTGAGGACGACAACTTCGAGGGGCGAGTCTTTGCGACCGTGCCAGCACCGAAGGAAGTTTCTTCCGATTCTTCCGAAACCGTTAATGGCTACCTTCAATTTCGCGACCGTCTCTCCCTTCACCGGTGCGGATTCTCCCGATGTCTGATTTTCGACGAAGTAAGCATGTTAAAACAAGAATCTTAATTAACATTTTGTTTTTTTGAAATTTTCGAATTAATTATTATAGATGAATAAGTAACTATATGAGCCATTTCGTATTTTAATAGTGCGAATTAATAAGATGTTTGGTTGGTAAAGTCCGTTACTGAAGTAGAAGTCCGCAGTTTAATGTTACTACTTCATTGTAATTTTGTAGGGTGACTAAAAAGGAAAATTACAATTTTATCCTTAAAACAATAACTTAATTATGTTAAATATAAGACTTTATAGACGGTTTAAATATAATAACAGAATCTAACAAATTTAATACAAGATGTAATCCAAAGAACGAATCATGATAGTAACTAACTAAATAATTAATTAATTAGTAGGGAATTAATCTAATCCGATCTAACTCAATCTAATACGAGGAAAAAAAATACCTTTGTAGTGAGCTGTGCAGCCACAACATCAAACAAAGAAGCCTCCCTTGAATTCTTGGTAAAGGCAACACATCCATTGGACTTCAGCCCCGAGAATTCCGCTACTTCCACTTTCTAAAAAATACAAATAAATAAATAAAGATCAAAACCGAGCAGAGTGGCAGAGCCAGAATTTTATCTTTTAGACGATAGCCAAATAAATATACACTTCAAAAAAAAAATTTACACTAAACTACTCGAAATATAACAAATCTCTATACAAACTAAAAAAAAAAAAATCGGGGGCCATGGCCCCCTAGGGTCTTATGCCAACTCCGCTATCGAAAACGGAGAACATTAATTTACGAATAAGATCGAGAATAAAAGTACCTTAGAGAAGCATTGGGCAGAGAAAGAGTGAGTGGTTTTGGATGGAAGCCTAGTGCTTGTTGGGATTCTTGAAGATGCCAAAGCTGCATTGGAAGCCATGGCTGAAACTCAAACTATAACAATATTAATTCACAAGTTATATATATATATGTATATATATAGTTTTTATTTTAATATTTTTCTGAATTATTTGGCAGAAAATTAGTTGGTTAGAAATGAGTTGTAATGAGTGGTGAGGATTTTTGTATGAAAGCATATTGATATCAGATAAGATCATGTTTCTTTCTCCACCATCTAAATATCAACCACAATATATTTTTCCTTCATGGATCTTTTTTTTTCTCATGTATATATATATATATATATATATATATATATATATATATATATATATAC